TCCATCCATCAGCTGTCTGACCATCATCGACACAACTCAGGGAGACATAACGGTCTCCTTTGAAGAACTGCTGATGGTTTGGGCTGACATACAGAGAGACTGGAGGACAGACAGAAACACAGACGGACTAAATGTATTTGTATTATTGGTCGAGTGAATAATTTCACTTCCATAAACTCACCTGCAGAAACAGTCAGTGCAGACAGCAGCAGCACACACACACCTGCAACATGAAGACAGTCAATAAAGGTCAAAGGTCAGAGAGAGAGGAGTCTAAGTAAATTTTAGTAGTTATTAAAATTGCTGTGGGTAATAATACAGCTGTGGGATGACTATTCAATTCAGTTACATTTTATTTATATAATACCAAAACAGTCACCTACTGACAGAGAAAACCCCAATGATCATGGTGAGGTTTTCTTCTCGAGTCATCTTTTTCCCCCTCATTTATTTATTCATTAGTTATTATTACTCTCTGGCTCTTCCACAGCATGTCTTTGGTCCCGTCTCCTTCCTCACACTTGCTCATAGACGGTCATCTTATGTTTTCTCAGTATAATTGAAGAATCTTCATCTTACAATGTAAAGCACCTTGATTCTTGTGTTTTGGAGCTGTATACATTAGATTTTATTGAACTGTATTGACATTTAGTTATAATTTCACAAGAACTCCTCAGGAAACATCTGCTTTCATCTTGATAAATTAAGTTGTGTAAATCCACAAAGAGCAGTAAACCTCAGAGCAGCAGCAGGTCAGCTGATCACAGCCTGTACATTTATAAAATCTACCGCAATTCGCAATAGAAATTATTGTAAGTTATGATTCTTTTCTGCACACTAAGACATTTTAACTGATTTTGGGGTTTTCCCACCTGCTGTATCTCACTTTAACCGCTGACTGTACACAATTTCTGTTTAGAGGCAAAGTCACCCTCTACAAAGTAGGAACAGAAAACAGAGCAAATCTTTATTTTCATGTTCACCTTAACTGACTCAAGCTGAGAATATTTATTAGAATTAAAATTTAGACTAAAATAAAGTTTGGATTCCCATCTACTAATATTATTTTATTATTACCTTAACATAGCAAGGTTTGGTTCGATTCACATGTTTTCTGTTTTTTTCCTTAAGGCCAAACTTTCACTTCATTTTTTTCAGACCTTACATCTTTCCTTGTGACTGTAATGACCAAAGTTACAACATTTGTCTTAACAAAAACTGTCTTTCGTCTAACTTCGGTTTAATACTTAACTGAATTCTTACATAATTTTGCTCATACAAATACAACTAAAACAAATACAAACACAACTTTATATGTCCCAACAACAAACTCGTTTCTTTCACCTTCCTATAACATGTGAGTCAGGTAAAGTATGACTTAACACAGCAGCCTAATTGATGACATCACCATGTCACTAGGTGCTGGAAAATTTTATCCATCTATTCATTCTAATCATCAAACTTATCCATTTCAGGGTTGTGGGAGTGCTGGAGCCTACACCAGCCTATACAGGCAATTTAGAATCACCAGTTAACCCCATGCATGCCCTTTGATGGTGGGACAATCTGGAGTACTCGGAGAGAACCCACAAAACATGGAGAACATACAGACTCCACACAGAAAGACCCCATCAAATGGCTGATTCAAATGCATGACCTTCTTGCTGTGAGGCAACAGTATAACAGTAACAGAAATGTAGGAAATAGAAGATAAAATGTGCCTCTTAAAGTTATAGTGAATGTTAGATGTTTTTCAAAGCAGTATTAACTAAAAACAAACATATTTCTGTGTTTTAGAGACAAAGTGACCCTCAAACTCAAACAGATAGTATGAGAGAGAAGTTCAACTAATCTCAAGGAGACTTTAATCTGTCTCTGAAATTATGTGTTTTCCATTATTCATATGTGCTGGATCTATACTGAATTAATTAATAAATGACTAAGATAGAAGCTCTGTGTTTGACTCACCGAGTAGCAGAGAGACAGATGAAGTTTTCATGATGTCTTAATGAAGATTTAACTCCACACTGAGCAGATAAACAACTTCAGCTTCCCCACTTCCCTGTTAGCACATCTAGGGATTTGCTGGGACTTTTATTTCCTCCTCTCTGTGACCTCAGTATCAGTGCTCCATGTTAAAGGTTCTCTCAGTTCCTTAAATGTCTCAGGAGGACAGCGCTATCCTTTAGAAGTGGGAAGCATCGCATTCATCTGTGTTATCATTTCCCCCAGGCTGTCAGATTTATTCTCCTTCCAGTCCAGAGAACAATAGAAGATGATGTGAAACACTGGAGAAATCTCCCACTATCAA